GGCTGGCTGGGGAATTCTGGGAGTTGAAGTCCACCCATCTTCAAGTCGCCTAGGTTGAGAAACCCTGCACTAAACACTCAAATTAAATATAAAAGGAATTGCAGCCATGGGAAGGTGGGCACAGATGAGCATAGCCCAGGATTTATTTTTCCGTAAATTCTAGCTTTGTGGAAATTAGGACTGTGCATCTCAAGATTTCCACGTGTAATAGTATTGACTTCTCTGAGTGTAAAAATCCCAAGATTAAAAAAATGTATCCCGTTATGCATCCAATTGCAGGAAACCGCCTGCAAAAGCGGTGATTCCCGCGCACGTTGACAAACGGCATCCCGTCAAAATTCCATTTTCAGAAACCTTCCTGCCTGAGTCATTCTGTGTAACAAGCCAGGACATCAAGCCAAGTTGCGTCTGCGTCATTTTTAATTAACCGGGGCATGACGAAACCACGGTTCCTAACGAAGGGAGGTATGCAAGGAGACGAACTGTCCTTTGGCTAAAGAAAAAGAAAAAGGTTTTCCTTCTTTCCTCGTTGCTCACAAAGGGGAAAGAGAAGACCCAAACGCTCACTGCAGCTTCGTCACAATAAGGCAAAGCAACATTAGCTGGGGATGATGGGATGCGTCATTCAGAACTTCAGGGGCACCTATAGAGGATTCTGTCCTCCCAGCCAGGCTCAGCTAGGAAACTAATTGCGGGAGGACGGAAAGAACTATGTTGCAAGCCATATTTATCCCTCTCCAGGAAGACACCGATTGAATTTTTTCCATCTTGGCAAAGCTGTTCAGAGTTAGGAAAGTGTGTGTTTGTTCTCCAAAAGCTCCCCCTTGTGGGTAACTGGAGAATGCCACCCAAGGCCATTCTACTTGCCTTTATTCTACAATTACCCCCAAAGTTTGGGACTGGTGTTTGCTGGGCTCGCAAGGCATGTAGGTTACCCTGGGACAGTTCGGAAATGCAGAGGCACCTGCCAGCACGTTTCCAGCAGTAACGCTGGGTGTGTATTGGGTTTTATATTTGGGATTTTTACTCCTGTAAGCCTCCCGGAGGCACCGCAAGTGAGTTGGGCAGCCGGGTAAATTGCTTAAATATGTAAAAAAATAAACAAACACGTCAGGAATAGACTGGTGAACAGGACCCTTTGTATGGCGGAGAGCACAGAGGAGAGAAACCAGAAGCTCTAGGAGACTTTTTTTTTTTACCAAAGAAACAAGCTTAACTGGCAAACCTGAAGAAGTTAGAAGCCTTCCCAGGTTCCATCGAGGCCCGAAGTCATGCACCACTTCAAGGCGCCTCAGGAATCCATGCAGATCTTTAGCATATTTCCCTCTGGCCAATTCACCTTTGCATGTCAGTACAGAAGAAGAGGAAGGCAGAGGAGGAGATTTGAGGGGGTAAAAAGGGTGCATAAGCCACTTTTCAAATTACCCTGGGAGTCTCCAAAGCAGGAGCTATCCACCAAGAGAAGACGACCAGGGCTTGTTAGACAAGAACCCAAAAGGTCAAGACGTGGTGCAGTCAGGGTTTAGTTCACGGGCTAGGCAACGGTGAGGAGCGGTTCCACCAGAAAGTGGCCACAGAGAGGCAGGATTGAGACCAGGGTAGCGACGGACAACGCTGTTTGAAGACCCAGAAGAGAAAGCCCGTAGCAAGTTAAGCATGATGGAGAAAGGGCTCGCTTTTCATTATGCCTAGGTCCTTCCTAGCCCTTGGTCAACCAAAGACAAGGATTTTCTGATTAGCTCTTCAGGATACAGTAGGCCACCGCGGCATTTCAAGGGCTAAACGTCTAGTCCTGGAAAATGGAATTTCAAACGTTGGAAAGTAGAGAATACAGAGGGAAGGGCTTTTTCTCTAAGAGAGAAACCACTGGATGGCCTCGCACACTCAGAAATATAGAGCTAAACACTACTTTTCTGTTTCGGAGCACCGAAATATCCCTCAGCTTAAGTCAACTTTAAGGTCACGTGGTTGAGCCTTTCGCCCGCAACGTGTATGGTTTGAATTATGCGAAACCGAGCTCCTGTTCCCTACAGAACTATAGGTTTTCTGTCGTCTTACAGCTGGGTAACTGAAAACGTCACCAGCTACAGGAAGTAGCACAGTGGAGATTATTTTCTGTCGAACAGCAGTTCTCTTTCAATCTCACCATAAAGGGAGTTTCGACCTCTCACATCTTCAGAACGTTTGGATTTGTGGGGTAAGTTATCGATTTTGTTTTAAATAAGAAATCTTTTCTACCCCGTGAAAGACCCAAAGTATTGTGCAAAAAGAACGCTCGATATCCAGCCTCCTCCCCTTATTCAAATATGTTGAAAACTGAATTGACAGATATATATATCTATATACCCATCCATCCATCCTGTCTGGAAAACTGTGCTATGAACAAGCAAAAATATTTTTTTTGTTCTATTTATGTTAGAATAATTTTACAAAGCGTAAAGAAAGTGTTAAGTAGTTCCTGAATGCTCAAGAAGCTAGATTTCAACTACTCTATGAGGGAGATCAGGGAAATAATCTTTTACTAAAGTGAAATGTTGATGCTTGAGCACAAAGTAGGAGTGACACCCATCCCAGATCTCAAATGCAGCATTGCTGACATTCTTCGGCTCTCAGTTTCTAAATTTGTTTCTGTAAAAATGGCCTTTCCTAACTTAAAGTATTAGTGTAATAACTTCCATTTCTCTACCTCTATGACTCCTGGTCCTAAATTCACCTGGGAAGAATGATTAAAGCATCTACTGCTAAGAATGATAACTCCTTTGCTCTGAGCACTTAAAATGACACCAAGTAATAATTAGCTGCTAGCCACAGATCTTTGGTTATGCACAAAGCTATTTGGGTGAATGCAACTTTCATTTTCTGTAGCAAAAGGGTGGGCGGGTGGGTGGGAAGAACCTGCGAAAAAAAATAGTTTTGGTTCCAAAAACAATCATCCCTAAGCCAGTAAGGTGACTTGGAAGGCTTCAAGTCATCAGTTTCAAATCTTAAATTGAAGTCTTCTGATCTGAGCATTTGGGGTAAACACAAATAGGGGGACAATAATTTCAGTCTTCTCGAGAGACTTGCCGTCCTCCTGGCACGTTGCGGAGAATAGTTTGACTCCATCTATCGGCAGGAAGGAATAATTTATTAACCGGATTCCAGAACGTATCGCTGCCCAAGCCTTGCGTAACTGCAGAAGACTGAAAAGGGATCTGTTAAATATGGACGTGGTGAGAATGAAGAAAGAAGAACATGAATTGCAAAAAAGATTAGGAAGAAGCTGGGAAAGGAAGTTAAAAAAAATGTTTTTAATAAAAAAGGAGAAGACCTTTTTAAGATTTGTAAGAGAACGCTGTGAGAGAATATTTGTCAAAACAGGACTGAATGCTGTTTCAGCTTAATTGCAAAACAAAGCAGAAGGTCTTCAACGAAGATGACAGTAATTACAAAGAACTTGCTTGCCTGTCATCTCCTGTATCCTGATTGCAATCCTAACAACCCTGAGTTTGACTGTGTGCAAAAACACCGTTGATATGAGAAAATGGCAAGGGTACAACGAGCATATAAGTAGGCCCACCTTATGATGCTTCGCAGAATAATTTGCAGCATCCTTGGATTTAAATGCAAGACGCACAAAGAATTCTCTACAGTTTAGGTAACATGGAAGGGAAATATCTTTAAAAGTATAGCCGTGCCTCATTGTATTCTGAATAAATTCCATTTTTTTTCCCAAGGACTGGCAACCTTCTAAAGCAATTAATTCTACAGAAGCCACTAAATAAAGCAAAGCAATGCAGCAGCCATGTAGCTTTATGCAAATACCCCGTGAATTGCTGCCATAAAATTGGCTGTGATGCCAGGTAATCAGAGAAAGAAAGCAAATTTTCTTTCCCCAAAGAGTAATGCAACCTGCACCACCTAACAAACTGGGTGCCTTCATGGCTTCTTCCTATTTCAAGGGATAAAAGCAACTTTCTTCAGTTATGAACAGAATTCCCCATCTAAGTTTTTGTTAGCAGCCGCAGACCACTCTGGGATGTTGTCTTTGCTACGGTTGAAGCACGCTGCATGATTTTCGGACCCCAGGAGACCCTAAACTTTTAAGGCCCAAATTCCAGAGGACGCATTCAAATTCATAATTCCTCCAGAGTTCATCATCCTCTGTTAAGAAATCATTTTTCACATTCTACTCATTTAATTAGCCTTCTGCACCCCGAGCGGCTTCTGAAATCTGTCTTAATGTTCAAGCCCGCAGTCAAGAAGAGACTGAGTCAAAGAGAAATGCAGGGCGAGGCGCCCAAGGGGAGGGATGGGAAGTGGAAAATTTTCTCCAGCTATATATTTTTGTAGAAAGCTTTCCGCTTCCAAACAAAAAAGAAGGGGGGGGGGTGGCGGCTTCCAGAATGAATATGAAATCACAATGAAATGGCAGAGAATCACTTTGTTTAATAATAACCTTTAGAAAGTATACTTAGTTAAGCAAATATTTACATTATGATTCCATAGGGACAAGCTCTTTGGGCTAGTAAGATTCTGTGCCTTCACACACTCAACTGCAGCAGAACGGTGCCAGGGCATAAGCTAGGACTGCTTTAGGCCAAGTTATCCCCTGGCACCGTTAAGGGTCCCCACGGATGCAGTGAGGGAAGAGATATCTCTCTGTTAATCCCAAAGTGGATTTCCTCTAGACCAGCACAACAATCGCTCAAGCTGTCTGCCTTTTCATCTCTCACAACTGCTGAGTATCTCACAGAGCACCCATAACCCTTCCCCCCCCCCCCAAATCTCAACCATATTTGAGAAGACCTCAGCCAGAACTGCCTGGAGTCCAACACAACAAGGCCCATCAGGCTTCTGGAGGCAGATCAACCCAATCTAGTCTCCATGCCTGTCAAGGGTAACAGGCTACAAAGCCCGTGTTCATTGGGTTTAGTCTTTCATGGCAAGAGCGGTACTTCTGGAGTGCCTGTATCTAGGCCACCTCTACTCCAGGGCAAAAACCAAACTGCTCTCACCCTAACAGACAAGGCTTTGTATTTGCTGCGTGTGGTTTCTCTTCCCAAAAAGCAGGCCAATTTTAGTTATCTTTGCCCTTCTGATGTTAGCAAGCCGCTCAGGTCTTTATCTTACTGCAGACAGTTATTTCAAACTCTTATCAACGGAATCCACAGTACGCCAAACTATTCCATAGACGCCATCCACTCTCTGCCAATGAACTTGCCAAGCCTTGCGTTTCCTCCTCCCAAGCACCCTGTGAAGCAGAGCAAGAGGGCAACCACAGGGACTGTTCCAAGGGTTGCCTAGGGATTATTACAACCAGAAAGTGAATCCCCTTTTCCCTCTGTGGAGACTGAGAGAGTCAGATTGGCTAAAATGCTGTCCGTGGACTGGGGAGATACAAAGGCAATTTCCTACAAAGCTTATTAGACGGCCTTGTTGAAGAACCTGGGTTGCTCACCCTTATCCCAACGCACCACAAAAGGTTGCTGTGCAGGTAAGAGAAATGGGACTTCAAGGACAATTAAGACCAACATACACGGTCATATTCAGTCAACAGAAAATTGGTGCCCCTGATCTTGCCTTTTTAATGATGGGCCTTAGCTGCTGAAAGTCACCATGAGGCATTTTTCGCTGGACATATTTTCGCATAAAACAATATTTCGAAATGCTGACATACTCGTAGCGCAATTCTGTGCAAGGCTGCACGTTTAAGAAGTCCCACTGGGTTGAACAGGGCTTATTTCAAAGTTAATCGTTCAAGTTCAGAGGCAGCAGGTGTGTGCAGATGGTTATTCTTTTCATGCTCTGCTGGTGGGTCGCTGTGAGAAGCAGAAGGTTTGCATACACGAGCCCTGCCCTGAAGCAGCTGAGGTCTTCATCAATGTCCTTCAATGCCCGTTGGGCTAAAGGCTTAAATTAATGATGTGACTTAATTTAGGGCAGCACAGGATTGGTGACAGAACTCAAGGAACATGAGCATTATACAGGCACTTCCTTCCATTATTAGATGAGACTGTATGGAAACCCGTGATAAGACGGCGGACCACGGTTCCCCTGAGATGTATTGTATGGCTAGGCTCTGCTTGAACCAATCAGTATTGCATGCCGCTGAGCAAACGTGAAGACACTCCTCTTTTAGATTTGCAGATGGACGCAAAGACGAAAACGCTTGTTATGAAACAGAAAGAAATCGAAAGGGCAAAGCTGACAAAGGGGGCAGCTGTCCTGTTTTGTGGTTATGGTGGCTTCTATTTTAATGTTGCATTGTTTGGGGTTTGGGGTTTAGGGAAGCTGCTTTGACCCTTACCGGATGTAGCGGCATGTGTACGGTGGCACGCCAACAGACGCTACCTCTCAACAACAGATTTTCAAAGTCATTTTCTAAAGCTGGTATGAAGCTTGGGCAGCAGAACTGGCTAGTAAAATGAACAGAATAGAATAGAATAGAATAGAATAGAATAGAATAGAAGAGAAGAGAAGAGAAGAGAAGAGAAGAGAAGAGAAGAGAAGAGAAGAGGATGCTATTGATTACTCAGTAAAGCACCACACAGTAT